ACATTAGCAGGACAAAAGAATACACTGTTAAATTGATTAAAGATAGAGAAATTCCATGGCTGCGTCTAAATGATATTGTAACATCGAGAGACGAAATATCGTGAACTCTTGTACTTCTGAACACGCGAACACGATCGGGACCGTGTCCAATAGAGTTTGAAAAACAAATCAGTTTTTTCATTTACTGATCAGTATAATTGTACGAGGAAAGTAAGAAGTTGGTCAAGCATTAAGAAAATTTCTTATTGAGTTGTATCGTTCGTTCTATTCTAAGGCATTCCATCATTGTTTGAAGTAACAATACGTGATAGTCAAAATCTGGAGCTTGACATGCTGGAGTCGTTGTTACCCGGTCAAGTCAACTGTTCCAGTGACTGGTCTCACTGGCGAGTGAATTGGGCTTGGCAAGTACTAGCAAGTTGTGGGGTTTGGTCTTGTAGGCTGGAGAGAGGGTGAGTGCATCCTTTGATCGCACTTTTTGAACTTCGCCCTGGCTTTCAAAATCATTAAAGGCGCTTAGACATAGGAAATTACTGAGCGTTCGCTACTGGAACCCAAAATTCACCCCCCTCCAGTTAAGGTTAGCGAACAGGGTCTTACACAGGATGATGCCAGCTTGTGACAATTCGGCTATTCAGCTAGATAATGACCGTCTAGCCCACTGGCCTTGTCTCTGTCCCTTCAACATCTCAACATTTCATCTTCATTCACGAATTAATAATAATAATAATATGTCATAATTTCAAAGAATAAAAACACATATTCTATGCTACAACTATTCAAAAAAGAGCCAAATGTCACAAATATATGATGTAGATAAAGTGACAAGATAAAAGAATTAAAAAGAAAAGCATGAATAGCTAAGAAATGTGGAATATTATATCAAAAAGGCAAAACAATGGTAAAATGACATGGTAAAAACCTTTAAAAAAGATAAAGAAAAAATGTAAATAGCTAAGTCATAATTAAATATTAAACGATTTCTAAAAGTGTTCATAAACCTTTGGGTGTTTATTTTCGGCCTAAGAGCAAACCTACGACGCAGCTGGTACCGACTTAGTCTCCTTTGCTTTGGGAAGCGTTTGATAGAGAGGCCTGCCCAGGCCTGAAAAATTTTTCTGTCTTTTTTTAGGAACAGGATAGCTATAACCCCTTTTTTGGGGTTATTTTAATTTAACTCCTTTGGGGTCAATTTTATTCTTTTACTCCCAGTCTGGGTTAACATAACTTTTTACTTTTACTTGGGTTGTTTTTAAAATTTAACGGGTTTTTTAAACAGGATAACTCCTTTTTGGGGGTTATTTAAACTCCTCAATATCTGGAGTCACTTTTACTCTGGAAAAAGAGTTCTTTAAACTCCTTTTTGGAGTTAGAATAACTCCTCAAAAAATAACTCCGCTTTAAGGAGTTAAATTAGCCCCACTAGAGAAGTTATTATAACTCCTTGAAAATTACGTTGCGCGGATGTTAACATTTTGAGAAATATAATTACCCTTCAAGCATCTATTTAGAAAACATTAAGCAGTCGAAAGGTTAGCCTCGGAGCAACTTAGTAAGCTTCTCCTTAACGTGGTTAACAAAACGTGAGTCTTCCTAGAAGTACACTCGGAGGATTTTGAGAATTAATGTACAAGCCCTCGTTAACCCTTTAAGCCCTACGAGTGATCAGCATCAAATTTCTCCTTGTGATATCAATGCTTTGTAAAACAGAGTGGTCATGAGAATAACGGGCATGATCACCCAAGATAAATTTGCTTGATATTTTATCAACTTCTCCTCACTACTTCAGTAGGAAATGAATAGGGGCAACAAATGAGAATTCAAACTTTGATCTTAGGGTTTAAAGGGTTAAGTTATACTTTGCACTTGGGTCTCTTTATCTGTCTAACATTATTGTTTCTGTGCAAAAGAAGGCTCTGAACTGATTATGCCCTCACGCGACTGCTATAAAGCAGCTCTGTAAATCCAAGACTGTTGGAAAGAGCAGGGAACGTAAGCACCGGTGATGTTCCTGAGCTATATTTCTGTCCTTTCATAGGCTATGTGGGGAATGATGCAGTATTTCTTTTAAAATTTTGTTTTCCTGCCTCCCTCCCCCACACCTCACTGACGTTTCTAATCTCCTGTGCCTGAGCCTGTTGATCCTTCTAGGGCAGCTCATGGTTTGGCCCATTAAGGCGATTTTGCTTTTTTTGATCCACGAGTTGTTTAGGCTGCGAAAACATCCGTTTCCGCTCGCTCTTCGCTGCTGGGGACGTTTCGCGTTGGTAAAGTGTTGTGTTCATCTGCGAACGAGCTCCAGCAAAACTCAAATGCTTGTTCTAGAGAAGACTATATTCCACAAATATTGACTGTTTTGTTAGAGATTCACCGCGTTTACATTTGACCTTTGTGGCTTTTTGTCTTTTGTCTGTCATTCGTAAAACAATAGCTAAAAACTACGTAACTACTCCGTCGACCAAACAGGGCTGGACATATCTTACGTCATCAGTATGGAATTTCTGTGGCTGAGTCGCAGCGAAACGTCCCCAGCGGCGAAGAGCGTGGAGAAATGGACGTTTTCGCAGGCTACGATTTGTTTTCTTAGATGTTAAAATCACCTGGGAAGTAAATTTGTCACTTAAACATATTCCTTCAATTGCAAAGAGCGAGGTTAATATTTGCATTCACAGCTACTATTATTATAATCGAACGAAATTTTTCTTAAGGTTATAAACCATTGTATAGTTTTTTAAGCTATTTTTGTTATGTGCTCCGTTTTGACCCCTGTTGGTCAATCTCGACCCAGAGCTCTTCTGCGCATGTAGAGAAGAGAGATCAAGAGCTCTGGGGAACCCTTGTCTCTGTTTTACGCGCGCATTCCCAAACCCGTAAGCACTGGGGTCGAGAATGCCCCGTTGGTGTGATAATTTGGTAGGATGAGGGTTAAAAGTGGACGTATGGGTAAAATCCGTTGTCAGGTTAAACCAGTATTTGACCTATGATAATTTCAGTCAGAGTTCCTTTTTCCTCGCCCTAAATATTCATAGGAGACAAAAGAAATTCTGGTTTAACCTGAGAACGGATTTTACCCAGTAAAATAGACGCCTTAGTTTTTTTACTGTTTTTGCTCGTACATCGTTTAATATCGTCATGGTTACAAGCCGAGTTTAAGTACGCCAAGAAACAATCACCAGGGTAACTGTCAATTATTAAAGAACGACTTTATTATTATTTACCACGAATAGAAAACAATTTACAACTTCGATTAACCTGAACCTTAAATGAGATTATCTAGGACATATTTTAACATTAACAAAGTTTTCTTCATGTTGTACACAGTTTGTGTCCGTTTTTGTCCGCCTTAGGTTTGCTTTTAGCCCGATGATGACTCTATTTCGAGCTAACGACGCAATATAAAGACTCCTTAATTTAACTTTAACTTTTGTCTTGTTTACACTTCGACAGGTATGTGAGGTAGGAATACCTAAAGAAATTTCTCAAAATCAATTGTCAAAAACCCATATCGGCCTGAACGTACAGCAACACTTGATAACAACAATGGTAATATGTATAAGATCCATCAACAAGCCGTCTTTTTTTCATCGTTCTTGAAGTTTCATTGACTCAAAACCCGGCGAACAATACTTGTTAAACACTTGTTAACTATTCTTTGGTGGAGTAGCTGCAAAACCAGTTATCTCGCTCCACCTACCTTTACTTTATTCAGCAATGAATCGAAGCGTTACTGTTCACGTCCTTCGTGTATACAGCTATTTGGAGAAAGGTTGTCGGAAAAAGTGCGTCCTTCGAGGTGGTTTTGAGTTCACTGTTCTTCAAAGAAAGTCAAGGGGCCGTTTTTAGTGAAAGGAAAGCTTTCGACAGCTACAGTGTCAGGAACAGTGTATTGATCGTATCCCATATTACCTTTCGGGATTGTCGCGCGCAAATTTTTTCCGACAACCTTTCTCGAAATAGCTGTATGGAAAAGGGGCCGTTTTTTAGTGACTTGCGATGTGTCAAGGAACATTTTAACTTATGCAATTTCATAATTTCACCATAGCGTGTCCCCCGCCTTTACAACATTTATGCCGGAACTGAAGTAATTGTGCCTTTGAAAAGAAGTTGCTTTAGCAGACATTGTTCATCCTTATCCCTTGGGGAAACCTAATTGAGGCTTAAGTGCCCACTAAAACAAAAATCCTTTATTTCGTTTAGAAAATAAAGGACTTCTAATTGTATTCAACGCACGTACAAGCGAAAACAACGCTCTACAGCTTGTTCGTTGCTTGTGAACAACTGTTTTACCTTAAGCAAATGCGGGTCCTTCCTTGCCTTAAAAGATTAAACATTCTTAAACTTATTTGTAAACGTTTAAATGGTAGATGCTATTGTCTCAAGTGTAATTACACTTAGTTAACCTAGCTAATTCACAGCCACTCCAATTAAACAACATAAGTGAACATCGTGACTGGAAGGTTACTATTTACAAGCGTGGATGAGAAATTGAACTCAGGAATCCAGCTAACAAATGGTTGGAACGGAGCTCAAACTTGGGACCGCCAGATTGCGAGTCCAATGCCTTGACCATTCGGTCAAGGTGCTATCTTAAATCACATTTGACAACAAAAAAGGCTTTCCATTCAAGCCAATAAGTTCTTTTCTTTCTGTTTGAAAGATTTTTCTGTGTTTCACTTGGCTTAACTGACTGGTTTTAAGTTCATCATGATTCTGACAGGTTCTCAGTATGAATTGTGGTCCCTTTTAATGAATCAACTGAGTTATTGAATCCAGTTTGGCTTCATTGTATGCGCTAAACATACAATCAATTCTCCTGAACACGGGCACTATAGCGGTGGACGTAAATGTGGCATAACAGAGGTGCGCTGAGGTAGAGAATATGTGATGTTTGTGATCTTAAGAACTGTCTGCAACTGGAGAGGTGCTCCTCAGTGTTACAGTGGAGCAGCGCCATAAGGGGTGTTCCCTGACTTAAGATGGATGTTACAGTTCAAAAGTCTTTATCGCATCATTTCACCTCTCTGAAGCTGGGGCATGTTCGTGAAGACACTACTATCCTTTCGTTTTCGTGCAGGCTCAGATATCGACGCGCCCCCTGCCTTCGTAGGAACGTCTAAGAGGTCAGCTGCGGTTTTCTTGGAACCCATCTTGCGGCAGTGAATAACAAACACTGAGGCGACAGCCACGATGTCTTGATTCTTGTAAACGAAATCAACAAAGGCGTCCTTTTCAACGGTGCTTTTCAGCTCGTCCCACGCACATCCACTGTCGATCGCAAGCGAGGGCTTGGCCCGTTTTGTGATGTAACACAAACAGATGACTTTGCATCCGGTCAGCTCATATGTGCTGCAGATCTTTTCTTTTGCTAGCTTGGCAATTTTATGCGAAGAGGCAGAGCATTCTTTAGCGTCATAATTCTTAAAAGACAACTCCGTGTTCATTGTTTGTTCAAGGATTTTGTACGCTCCTTGTTTGTTAAACTCTTCTTTCTTCTGGACCCCCAACGCAGTCACTGATTTTGCCCTGGCCTTTGGAAAGTCTGCGTGGGAGAGAAAAGAGTTTCCAATGTCGTTTTCAGATCGATGTGGAATGAAAAGAGAGTTCTTCCGTCTCCGTGCCCATAATTTAGCACCGACGATGCCATTCAACGACATGCGAGGCTCTCCTGCCTTCGATTCGGACACTGGTGCAAGTGTTGCGGGGTTTAAACTGGGCTCATCCATGGGAATGTCCAGTAAACGAAATCAAGCCAGTCAGTGTTGATCACATAAAGTGTCGCTTCACTGGCCAAAGAGTCTTAGGCGGTCTGTCTTGTGGCAGAGGCAGCTTCTTTTGACGTTATAAGGCCTGTGTGGAGTATTTAAGGTAGCAAAACCTGTGTCAAAGAAGGAGAAATAAAATTATCTCAAAGAATTCGCTTTAGTTGCTTCTTGCGTGTAAAATAAGCCTTGTACAAGAAAAATATGAAGTGAACAAGAGCAATCATAACAATGGGAAAAATGCCCTTTAAAGGTTTAGAGACTGACTTGAATTTTAGGCGTATGTTTGCTTTCGTTTCTGCGGAAATGTTTCAGTCACAGTTTAAATTGATTTATTGATTTATTGTGCTGGACGCAGGTGATTTTCTTTAGCTTAGGATTTCATGGTTAAACCCACCGTTGCCTTTTTGAAGCTAACAAGTCAAGGTTTTGTGATCTTTAGCTTCCACTTTCAAACTGGAATGGAGCAGAACGCGTAGCTCTGATACGAAGTGCAACAAAACTCAGAAACGTGGAATAAAATCCTTGCAGCACTAAAGCACAACAACAAGATCTGTTCAAATGATTTGCATTTCATATGATGTTCTTCTTAAAAAGAATCAAGATAAAAGAGGCCATTAAGAGTAGGCCTAAACGAATTAATTGGTGCTAAATTCCCAAGTGCAGCTTTTCGTCATTGTTAGCAAACAAAGAGAGCGACAGTGGAACGAAATAACGAGGAAAGGATGACAAAATTTTGTTTATTTTGCAATGTCTTGGCCGGGGTGACACGTAAAAGGAAATTAATAATTGTGTAATACAATAGAAGAATGATGACAGTATTGAGTGTTGATAATTAAGAATAATTGAAAGGCAGAAATAGGACGTTTATAGACGAGCGGACAAAACATTGCGAAAGAACGTGAGCTTTGCATTATTTTCGTTCCTTGCACATGTACACATGCTCAGCTAATCGTGGCCAACCAATCGTGATCGGACCTAGGCCTTTCGTCTTTTTCAAGTGGAGGGCACAACTCGGGGGGAGCGAGAAAAAAACCTGCAATAAAAAAGGAAAGTCTTGTTTCTGTTGGAAATCGCACAACCTAGGGAAGAGTTAATTATTAAATGTACGAGTGATCCTTTGAAAGTTCACTTTAAAAAAAGAGAGCCTTTTCCAGCTTTCTTCGAATTCTGCGGAAGGTTTTACACCTTCGGAAATCTACGGCTGTTCGCTAAATACCTCGGAAGTCCATCGGACTACCACGAGATACCTCGATTTCTCTTCATATGGCAAGTAACTGGTACTTGTTTTTCCGGCGAATTATACAACTTGTCTTTGTATAATTTCACGAATATCGAAGTTTGAAGATAAATCTTGACGTATTCATCGCACTCGACTGTCTTGATGACGTCATATTACCTAGGACGGCCATCTTGGATCTGCCCTTATTTCAGATTTTCATTTGAAAGACCTTTATCCGTAATGTCAAAAATCCAAACTCTTGGAGGATTTGTCCCACCCCAATACACCACTAATTGTCGTTTGAGAGACGTGAAGACTTAATTTGATTTCTGATCACCTTATTCTCTCAAATGACCCTCCATCTTGGCTCGGCCATTTTGGTACCGAGCGTTGAGTACTGGGAATGCAGGCTCACAACCAGTCATTAAGTAAACAGACATTTTGACGTCATAATACTTCTTTCGGTCAAAAAAAAGAGAGAGAGAGAGAGAAAAGAAAGTGACCTTGGGCGCTTTCCATTTAGGAAAAAAAAACCGAAGACAGTTTTCGATAAATTTTAATTGGTAAAAGTTCCATTCGGTCGTAAACCCCGGACCGTCGCGGTGCCCGACGGGGACCTTGGTAAAACTACGAGAAACGTAAATGGAACTGACATTCCGTTCGAAATTCCAGCCGAAAACGGGCCCACCTTTTAGATTTTCGTTTTTCTGGGAATTTTCCAGTGGGACGAACCATCAATTTTCCATTTAAACGTTTGTCAAATGGAAACATTCAATAGCAAACAGTTTTCGATAAATTAAATTAAAAGTTTCACAAAATGACTCACCGACCGTTTGTGTTCGAAGGAAAATCAATTTTCTCCTTTTGTCAATAAACATTTTTATAAAATTCATAAAATGATCAACGAAAGGAAAATTCTTTGATCTTTTATCAAATTCTCTCCACTAATTATTTAGAGAAATGTAAGGAAATCAGTTTGGAGAATTTATATGTAGATATTGGGCCTTAAAGATTCTAAAGTCACTCTAACTTTTGACTCTGTGGACAAAACCCTCTGGTTTACCATTTAAATGAAACTTCTTTAGCAGTGCTTTTACATGGTCTTTCTATTTAGTGCGTAGTTTTAACTTTTGAGTCTGTGGACGAAATACTACCGTGTTACCATTCAAATGAAAACTCTTCAGCAGTGCTTTTACATGGTACTTTTTATTTAGTGCGTAGTTTTAACTTTTGAGTCTGTGGACGAAATACTTCCGTGTTACCATTCAAATGAAAACTGAAATGGTACTTTTTTTTAGTGCTTTTAACTTTTGAGTCTGTGGACAAATACTACCGCCATTCAAATGAAAACTCTTTAGTAGTTTTAACTTTTGAGTCTGTGGACGAAATACTACCGTGTTACCATTCAAATGAAAACTCTTTAGCAGTGCTTTTACATGGTACTTTTTATTTAGTGCGTAGTTTTAACTTTTGAGTCTGTGGACGAAATACTACCGTGTTACCATTCAAATGAAAACTCTTCAGCAGTGCTTTCACATGTTACTATTTGTTTTGTATGCAATTCTGACTTTTGAGTCCCTGGATGAAATCCTTTGGTGTTACCATTCAAATGAATCCTCTTTGGCAGAACATTTTCTTAGTAATATTTATTTCTTGGGATTTTTATGAAAATAGATTTGAAAATTTTGTGATTTTTCGGCCACTATCAGGAAGGAATTCAAGGGTTGAACGCCTACGAAGAAGACAACAATAGGCTCCTGCTTACCGAATGAAATGGAACTTAACATTTCCAACAACGTTCTTTTGTTTGATGGGTCACAATTAAGTTTAGTTGTTCCTTAAGATACTAGTAATTATCATACTTCCTCGACCTTTAGTTCTTCAGAATGCCAATCAGGATAAAACGTAAACAAAAACCTTAAATGCCATGTTGATGAAACCCAAAAAGCGTGTCATATACTGCTGAACCTGTTCCATTTTAATGGTCAAACCTTGAGATCTCATCCGCTGACTCCTGGTTACGGGAAATACCAGGGCTCCTGGAAATACTCGTTTTAAACAGACAAAATTGATTAAATTTTGAGTAATATGGGCAAATTAAACACCAACTTTGCTGACCGTTTTTCAAATCGCGTCAAACTTCAAATGGTTCGGTGTCCTTGTTAGAAATGAGAAGATTTTCATCATCAATTACAAGAATGCTATCAAAGGAAAAACTTTGTTCTAAATTACTCTCCGCCCTCTTCTTAATCTCTTTTCTGTTTTTCCCAATATTGGCTGCAACAAGATGAAAGGAGAAACGATTCACAATTTCCATTTAATTGACGTTTTGGCACAAGTCTTTTCAACTGAAGCTCATTGTTACTTCGACTACAATGATTGATGGTAGGCTTTTAGACTTTCTATTCATCTCTCGGCCCACGCTGCGTAAACAAGCTTAAGCTGTCTTGAGATATATTTTCAGTGTGCGCTCATAAAAAAGGAAAATTTATCAGGTTATGTAATGAAGGATGTCTTGAATGAGCATTATCCCTACTGTCCTTTTCAGAATCTTAAAAAGGTTTGTGCAAGTTGTTCTGAGGAGTTTTTAGGGGGACCGCATGAGTAGAGTATATATTAAGTTTTGAATATTCGATCGTTTGCCCAAGTTAAGTAAACATCGGCGATGAAGAGTTGACTCTTTATTTAGCATTGCTTGGCAACCGGAAAGAGTAGAAATTATAAAGCGGATTATGTCTCATACAAGATTAAAAAGTTGATCAGTTGTCTAAGAAATTCAAAAGTTTTACTTGGGACATCTCTCAGTTGCGGAGAAGGAATCTTGTTTAAAGAAGAGAGCAAGCGTTCAAAATCAGCAAGGAGCGAAGAATTACACCTGGCCTCTTGCTTGTTCTAAATTGCAAAATTGCTTGGACAAACAAACCGACTTGGCTTTTTCATCTTCCTGAATTCATCAACAACCGCTCACGATCGCTTTGGCCTTTACCTCATAGCTTGCAACCTATAGTATCTTACGGTAATCGACAGTTATGGAAGCACAAACACATCAGGTGACCACCGGAGGTCGCACTCCTTCGCTTTCAATTTCATCCGCGCAAGAAGACCGTAGGAGAAGATCATCAACTAACACATCGCAACATTCTGGTGCTTATGCTTTTTCTCCTGATAGGACCGAACGCCGAAAGCCCTCCTCAACTGCAAATCCCTTTCTGAGCTCTCCAAATCGTAAAGTCTCGAGCAACGTATCGCCGAGGTCTGAAGGCTTCACGACGGACCCGAAGCATCGAGGTCAAGCCGACGTTTTGCCGACTTACCGAATGGAGCCACTGCCTGACAGAAAGTTCCGTCCGCATGTTGTCAAAAGAATTATGGATGAAGCCTTTGAAGAAAGCCTTGACGCATTGCGCAGCTATGATTCAGTCAAATGCCGCGCTCTCACGACGCAGCTTTGCGAGGATATCAAGCAACGAGTAAAATGGTTGAATTATGAACGCTGTAAGTTGGTATGTCTCGTTCATATTGGTTCTGTTAGCGGCCAGGGCATGCGTGTGGCAAGCCAGTGTTTGTGGGATCAAAATGTGGACAATTTTGCCTCAACCAGCTACAGAAAGGGCGACATATTCGCCGTAGCGTTGTTATTCGCGGTATACAAGGAATAAAAACTTTGCGAACTGAACAGTTACACTAGTAAATGCGGAAGCAATACAGAAAAAATAACTACTACAGAAATCTAGACTGCGAA